TTCTGTAGCGAATCGATGTGTTTTTGTAAGAAAAATATCCATATTCAAAACGTAACAATCACTTTAATCTAGCTTGCGCTCACTGTTGTAAACAGAAGCAGTTCCGGGCGGATGACGCATGGAGGTCGGCTTTGGAGAGTCTTTAGCCACTCAAACTCTCCTCCTCACCGTGCATTAGGACGATATAGACATATGTCCTCTTCCAGGCAGATTTGTAACATTTTCTGTTGATTGGAACTTCTTAATTATTGCCCTGATGGTGGAAATGGGAATTTTCACTGCTCTAGCTCTTTTCTTAAAGTCACTTTCTAGTTTGTGAAGCTCAATTATCTTTTGCTGCACATCAGAAATATATTCTTTGGTTTTTCTCATTGTGATGGATGATTAAGGGAATTTGGCCTTTGTTTTCCCTCCTATTTATATTCCTGTGAAACAGGAAGCCATGGCTGAATAATTTTATGTTCATAATCACCCTGGTATGCTCAAAATTGTAAATCTGAATGGGAATATACTTAACAGATATTTTACTCATTAGAATGTCTAGGGGTGCCAATAATTGTGTCCAACGTGTATTACAGAAAAGAATTTATTTCAAAATGAGATTTTCCCCCATTTTCAATTGTTTTAGTTCAATGAAAGATTAGATATTTGTGGATCAAAATGATTAACAATGCAGATTTATTTTCACAGCCGCCTTTGATCATATTTACCAAGGGTGCCAATCATTCTGACCACGACTGTATGTGTGTGTGTGGGATCACAAAAGAGATTTATACATCACATGAAAGCTGAATAAATAAGCTTTCCATTGATGTATGGTTTGTTAGGGACAATATTTGGCCGAGATACAACTATCTGAAAATCTGGAATTTGAGAGTGCAAAAAAATCTAAATATTGAGAAAATTGCCTTTAAAGTTTCCCTATTATGCCATTTTTACGGTTCCTAATATTGTTTTGGGGGTCTCCTACAAAAGGATTACATGCATGCAAGGTCAAAAAACGCTTTTGTTTTCTCAAAATATGCATTTAATATCACCTCATTTTCGATTCTCAAATGATTCGTTTGAAGCAGTTCAAAGATTCAGTCTCTCTAAAACTCCTCCAGCCTGCTCTGCTCTGATTGGTCAGATGGCCTAGCCTATTGTGATTGGTCTACAGCGTACAGCAAACGACTATTTCAATAGTTCTGTATTTTGAACGCTCTATAGAAAATATAAACATCTATTATTTATCATACTTACAGGTTGTGAGCAGCTGGTCCAAATAAACAGGATACTGATCCAAGCCTTTTGTGAATCCCGCGATGAACTCCCCGAGATTAGAGAAGCAGTCGTCAGTAGAATGACGTGTTTGTGGGAGGGGTCAAGTTGTTCGTGGCCGGCCAACGTAGAACATAGGCACGCATTATGCAAATGTGTTACCCTGTGACGTGTAGCCGTCACGGAAGTGGGATTCGAATCACTAATGACTAGTTTCAGCTGTTCAGAGTCGATTCTTTATTTTGGGGGCGATAGTAACCTTATTTATCGTGCACTTTCAACTTTACAACTTTGCAGATCGTTTAAATTCACATACAGCTTCATTACACACTGCATGAAAGGCAATATTGGAAATGGCATAATAGGGGCACTTTAAAGTTGTCCAAATGAAGTCCTAGCAATGCATATTACTAATCAGAAATTAAGTTTTAATATATTCACGGTAGGAAATTTATAAAATATCTTCATGGAACATGATCGTCACTCAATATCCTGATGATTTTTGGCATAAACTAAACGCTTATAATTTTGACCCATACAATATATTTTTGGCTATTGCTACAAATATACCCATGCGACTTACTGATTTTGTGGTCTAGGGTCACACACACACACACACATATATATATATATATAATTAATTAAATTGACTTAGCTTTATCCACATGTTTCTAACATGTTCAACATTTTAAGGTATTCAATTGGTCCAGCAAGAAAAGAAGCAGAACAAGGTGTCCAACGCCAAACGGGCGCGAGCGCACTGGCAGCTCCTCTACACTCTGGTCAACAACCCGTCTTTGGTGGGCACCAGGAAACATTTCCAGCACCAGAGCTCTGAAAGCTTCATCAACGGAGCCCTCAACCGGACCTCCAAGGAGGGCAGCAAAAAGGAAGACAGCATCAAGGAGCCTAGCAAAGAAGCAGAAAGCGCCGCCACAACAACTGAGGACTGAACATCACCATGCGGAGAAGCAGATCGGCCCTCCCTGCCCCCAGCCTTTTCATACTTAATGGCTGCTGGCCAGATATTGATGATAGTATTATTTGCTTTGGTGTAGCAGAGAAGCACATGTGTTTTAGCTAAGTGCACTTACAGCTCAGTGCCTCAGGAACAACTTCAAGCAGTTGTAGTTAACGGATCCTTTGCACATGTGTGTGAATGCATGGATGATGTATTGTGTCTTTTGTTGCATGTGTGTGTGAGACTGTCTCTCGCTCTTGGACTTAGCGTATCAGGAAATTTAGTTTGGCACTGAACTCCCATCTGACTGCTTGATGCGAGGTTAATATGCATGACTATTTATGAATGTACAGGTTCTGCTCGTTTGCAAATTGACGAATTATTCATTTCCACTCAGCATCTTCATTTTTGCACTTATTGGTGTGACCAGTGGTGAGAATGTTCTTATCATAGATGAAACCAATAATGTCCTTTATGGGTTGATCTGTGTCTGTTCTCATTAAGACAACATCTACTGTAATTGTATTACAATTGTTTCCATCTCTGACAAAATATACAGTCTGTCTCACATTGACACTTAATTTTGAGATTTCCCTCTATTATGTATTGTTCTGCTACCTGTGGCATATTTGTGATTGAGATGAAATAAATATTAAAAATAAAAGTATGCTCCCTGTGTTGAATTAAGGAAAATAGTGCCATCTCCAGCGTATAGCGAAGTGTAAATCAGCATGATTTTATATTTTAATTAAACCAAATGAAAACCATTTAAATCAGAAGTATGCGCACGATTTTTTTCCGTGCAGCGATGTATGATTCATAGGGTTATTACGAATATTTAAAATAAATATGACTAGGCATATGTTGAGAGAGCGCATAACTGTTCCGCAATCACATTTTTTTGTTCAACACAATAGTTTTCTCAAGAATTCATTACAATATCCATAACGAAAAATAAGCACTAGTAGGCACATTTTATTCTAAATGTAAATAATTTCGTGAATTTAAATGTCCAATAAATATCCTATAAGGCTATATTCAGACTATTTATATATTTGTTTTGAAATATTCGTTTCAGAAAAACAAAAACACGAATCATATATTACACGGGTCTTTGTTAGTTTTGCAAATTAAAATAAAAGCAAAAACATGTTGTACCTGAGCTCCTTTCAGGCGGCGTTTTGCAGGAAGTTTCCTCGCCAGCGTTCAATGTCCAGCGAACGGATTGCAAACTATTTATGATTTTACTGAACTGTGTGGTTTGTGCTGGAGAGCTTGTCTGCATTCTACAAACACTTTCTGCGTTTGCAAACAATGTCCAATACATTTGTTCGTTCCATATTTTATTAAGGTCACGTACATAAAATCATATCAAAATCTTTAAAAGGTTTGAGTATTTTTACAACATCATTGGACAGTTGGACACGAAACAAGCCACTATGCGTCAATTTACTGGACTCTCGATGTCGTTTTGACTGATGGTAAAAACGGACCATTAATGCTTATATAAAAAAAGAGAGAACATCTTCTCAGGTTACACTTAATCTCGACACTCGACATTTAATATCTACAGTCTATAGTATCCTAATAAAACACACTTGAAAATACTTTTGTGTGACATGCCACGAACAAGTAGGCTATCTCAAAGAGAAGAAAGGACACGTTCAGTCAGTTCATAAAGGCGAGAGATATTTTTAAAGCACCCGTTCGCAAAGAGATTAAAAATCACACATTTTGGGATCCCACATTACACTTAACAAACTTTTTTTTCAAGGTGATCTGGCAGGTTTTCCAGACACACACATGCTGTGAAAAGAGTAACGGTGATTTTTTTTTCTCCTCAGAAGCGCTCGATGCCCACTATACAGTAACGCTTACTTCGATGACTTAAAATGGATGCTACTTGAGACAATGTACGTTTACGATTATGCTAAAGTGACAAGACTTACGGAATTTTTTATGAGGTTTTTTAAAGATATATTTGTCCATTTAAGTCCAGTCCACTCGATAAATCTCAAAAACCCTATTTGTAATATTGAACACTCATCGTATGCACTTACTGCTAACTTGCTGAGGTAAAAATAAGCGCGCGTTTTTATTTCAGCGCGTGTCTGTATCACGTGAGTTGACAGTCCGTGTTCACCTGGTTTGTATTGCGTTTCAGAGCAAACGAACAACAAACATCTCAACGGGGTTGGTTGTAATTACCGTTGATCTCGGCAGATATGTTTACCGCCTCAGCCCCAAGCGGCAACCGATCGCTGTACTCGGATCCGACCTCAAACTCCTCCTGCGTTTTGGATTGTGACTCGGGAATGGACTCGGTTACCACGCTTCCCTCGACGTCCTCACCTTCTCCGTCCCCCTCCTCGCCATCAGCCTCGCCTTCTCCCTCTTCCAGCTCACTCGGGTTGAAGTTCTTCTCGGATCCCACAAAAGACGCCCTGGGGTCGAAATCTGTCGCTATTTGCTTTTCCATCTGATCTGGGTTTTGAGTCTTCATGATCAACTTGTATGTCTTGCCTTGATACTTGTAGAGCAAATGGCAGCAGGTGGCACCCAGCAGGGGAACGGTTGCCAGAGCTAGCAAAAAAATACTAACGACCACTATAATTAGCAAAGATGGGATTTTCTTTCTAGTTGTGAAGACCACTTGGACTTGACAGTCCTGGCCCCCATAGGTGAGGCACAGGGTATAATTAGTTCCTGGCTTGAGGCCCTGGAAGCGATAGGCGTTGACGCCCTCCTCTATCTTGGACCACTGCACCACCGAATGTCCATTGCCAGTACCGACGCAAAGGTACAACATGTCCAGGGGTGACTTTTTGGTGGATGTCTGGAAAAGACTAAAAGGCTCTTTATTCACAGTTTGGAGGTCTTGTTGTTGGCTGAGGTGAATGTTGGACTTCGCGTTGGCCATCTGGAAAGGGTTCAGCTGAACTTTGGCCTCAGTTTCTGAAACTTCCAAAGCAATAACTCCGAAATCAAACGTGTACTGTTTGAGTTCATCCAAGCTGAGGTTAAAAGCATGGTTGGAGATGTACTGTGTGCCATCATTCATTCCGCATTTGCCAACAAATGGCAAAGTATCGGTGCCTTCTTCCACTTGCTCTTTATCCACTGTAATGAGCGATGTTCCGGTTGGAAGGCTCTTTGTCTTCTCCTCAGATTTGGGCCACATGCTAATAACGCTGTTTTTGGAGCCTTTTGAACCAAGTTTGTCTTCTGGTAAATGGCTGGATACTTTTGGGTCCAGCATGTCGTGCTTTTTGGTGCCTGCCACAACAAGTCTCACCGTGCGCTCGGCTCTCCCCATGTCATTGACAGCAGAGCATGTGTAGTTTCCATCTTCTTTCGAAAAGTGCTAAAGCAAACTGAGAGCTTTGCACATTATGAGAGTGATTATAAAAAGCATTTGACATTACACGTTCGTGCACATTTATTTAGAAAAGTTGCCAAATCCAAATGCATATTATTTCTGGTCTCTTTTTTCAAGTTGTTGTCGACTAATTGAGATTAATGAGAGGAAACAGAAAAGGCATTGGAGACATCCCCGCGCGTCCTGCTGTGTTACTGAACGGCTCGAGAGCAGATATATTTAGTTATAAAATATTATATATCTCTTCATTGTGTTTGCCCGGTGATTATAAAAAGCATTTGACATTACACGTTCATGCACATTTATTTAGAAAAGTTGCCAAATCCAAATGCATATTATTTCTGGTCTCTTTTTTCAAGTTGTTGTCGACTAATTGAGATTAATGAGAGGAAACAGAAAAGGCATTGGAGACATCCCCGCGCGTCCTGCTGTGTTACTGAACGGCTCGAGAACAGAACGCTTGGATCATGTCGCTGTCCAGCGTTCTGAAAACGCTCTTCACTTTTTAATAAAAACGTGTTTGTTTTGTGAATGTCTTAAACTTCTCGAGATTTGTAGCCTCTGTTTCCAAACCTAATCGTTCGCTGAAAGTTTCAAGACGAAATGCACTTCTACAGTTTATTTGCTCATGATTCTACTTGCTTTCTCAACATTTATACGCTTAAAAGGTTTAACTTTTTAATATTGCCTTACCTGTCAGTGATATTCCTAACACTCGCGCGGATTTCAGTCAACACGACACTTGATGAAATGTAATAACAATATTTAATGCTCAGACTTCAGTTTATCCCAAAACATGATGCAGCGTTTTATATCCCGTTGGAAATCTCTACTGTTTTTCTTAGCATAAGGCAGAAGATGCATTTTAGTGTCCGTGTGAAGCTGAGCAGTGCAGAGGCTGTGTTCTCCTCGCGCTCGAGTTTGGACAGAACCCACTGCGCGCTCCCGCCTCCACAGTGGAAGGGGAGGGATTGTGAACGCGCAGCCTCTCCCTTCAATTCCGCATTAAAGCCACAAGGACTTTGCCGTCCAGATGAAGGTTATTTATAATTCAGATCCAGTTGATCATTTATATCACATGACCTATGCCCTTGTTTGTCTTTTCGATGCGAGTATTACCGATATCCACATGATAGGCTACTTTTTCCATGTAACAACTATGCATTTTCTGTATACATTTTACAGGTTAGTATTTTTTTAGATGAAAAGTCGCCCATCATAAAATAGGTTACTGTATGTACTAGCAACAAAGAAAAATTGATCATAAAATTCGGAATTTATTTCTGCTTTTATAGAATGAAAACAGAAGAGAATGTCAAAAAAGGAAGTCCAGTTATTCTTGTATAGTGACCATCTGTTAAAAAGGAGCAGAAAATCGTATAAATTGTGTTATTATTTGGTATTGTTATTTTTCATGTGGAGCGTGTCATTACAAATGTCCCCAAATGTCCCTAAAGTTAAATTTGCTGCTATGAGAAAACCAGTGGGTATTAAAAATACAAATAAACAAGTGAACTGAGCAGCATTAACAATGGCAACATGATGGAGCTCAGCAACAGCTGAATTTTTTGCTTGTAAGCCTAATTGCGGTGACTTTACAGTGGAAATTGCTTAATTTGTCTGGAAGGAACCTCGCTCTTACGAAACTAAATACAATTCAAATGAAAATGTGAATACACTTGACATTGAAGGACACAAACCTTGTTTATGTCTGTTCATCGCCTTTTATTTTGTTGCGGTGGTGAACCCCGAAACCTTTTTATATGCTGCCACTTAGTGGTCATTTTATATACTTGTGTCATTTTTCCGGTTGTTATTAGATTTAGTAGATATTTTAAGACGGGTTTGAACACTTTCCCTTGTTTCAGAAACAAAACTACAACATAATGCATTGTTAGGAATTAAAGGACAGTCTTTAGTAACTAATAGTATGCTGTTCTTAAGCCAAGACATTTCATTTTTTCTTTCTGTTCTCTGCACCACAAATTGCTCTGTATTAAATGGTAGGCTATGTGTTTTTACATCATGATTTTGTTCGACTTAAATTAGTTAGTTCGGTGTTAACTAAAAAAAAGTTTAATAGTTTTACATAACTCTGCAACTCTATACTACAATAGAAATTCAATGTTCAATGCATTTTCCCATTTGTAATTAGTAGCATAGTAGGATGATACTACTAATAGGCCATTCCACCGAATGTCCCAGGACATTATAGGTACAAACATGCATAAAAATTAACTATAAAATACATTTTATTATTAAGCAAAGTGTCCTGCACATTAATCTAACTGCCAATTTAAAATATATAATTTAAAAATATATATTAAAAACTACCGAAAACACTGAAAAAATAGTATTTGTACACAGTGCCTAACACTAAATATAATGTTTAAAATCCTTCAGAAATAATTTTTTCTTTTGTCCCTCCACATCCCATCTGTGTTTGAAGTACATTTATTTCAAAATAAATGTATAATATTTTGGATAAAATACACATTTATAGTCGTGTCCCCAGGTTTTCACTCAGTCCTGTTACCCTAACACATCCCCCCCTCTAAAAAGACTGGGAAAATTCCACAAGCCACATTTTCAACATAATATTGCAACATCTGGATCTTCTGAAGGCAATGAAATGACCGAAAGCATGTGGTCTCATTTTCTTTTCTGTATATTTGATGATATTGTAACAAATTCAATGTTCAATGCATTTTCCCATTTGTAATTAGTAGCATAGTAGGATGATACTACTAATAGGCCATTCCACCGAATGTCCCAGGACATTATAGGTACAAACATGCATAAAAATTAACTATAAAATACATTTTATTATTAAGCAAAGTGTCCTGCACATTAATCTAACTGCCAATTTAAAATATATAATTTAAAAATATATATTAAAAACTACCGAAAACACTGAAAAAATAGTATTTGTACACAGTGCCTAACACTAAATATAATGTTTAAAATCCTTCAGAAATCATTTTTTCTTTTGCATTTTGGTGTCCCTCCACATCCCATCTGTGTTTGAAGTACATTTATTTCAAAATAAATGTATAATATTTTGGATAAAATACACATTTATAGTCGTGTCCCCAGGTTTTCACTCAGTCCTGTTACCCTAACACATCCCCCCCTCTAAAAAGACTGGGAAAATTCCACAAGCCACATTTTCAACATAATATTGCAACATCTGGATCTTCTGAAGGCAATGAAATGACCGAAAGCATGTGGTCTCATTTTCTTTTCTGTATATTTGATGATATTGTAACAGTGGCTGGGAGCGTCATTATAAATATACTGTCCTGTTACCTAAACTATTTCTTAGATGTTACTTGTTTATTTTAAAAATACAAATCTTTGGTGAATCACTATAATTTGCTGAGTATTCTCATAATATTAGCATGTACTCCGTGTGGCTAGATTACATGTATTTGCTAATTTTATCCTAAAATCTCAATCCTGTTACTTTCAGTCCTGTTACTCGTATACTCATTTATCCTATACTTATATATAGCAACTGAGTAAAAGTAACAGGAGTGAGTAGTGTCATCAGATTTATTAATGTAAATATTAGGCTATACATCCATATTAATCTGGATAAATTTGAAAATGCATCTTTTTCTCAACCATTTTGGCTTTCTATCCATACTGAGACAATACTATATGTTGTTCCTGCATTGCTGTTTTATATTACATTCCTGAAAGTATGACAGAAAATGTACTTAAAAATGTACGAACTACCTTAACACACATAAATATGTTCTTTATTCTCACTGTATTCTCACTTGCTGTTACTGGAGTGACAAAAATATTTACTAAACTTCTAGAACATAGAAAGTTAGGCCTATTTATATCAGTTTTGTAATGTGTCTTTTATACTTTCGGGGAACAGGAAGTGTTTTATGTGTTTGTTGGTATTTCTCTCTGTTAAATGAATGAACGTGTAAACTGAGTAGAACGTGTAGCGTGAACGTTCCATGAGCCGCTTATGTCGTCACAGTTGATGTTTGAACTGAATCATCGTCGGTTAAACTTGTGCTGCTTCAGTCTCACATCTGCTCTGCTGGTGAGTCGATGATAAACTCTTTATCTAATGTTTTCATATTGCGTTATTGATTTCATTTGCATATCGGTAATTTTAATAGTTGTTGGTGCTTCCGTGTGAACTGAAGGCAAAGCTAGACCATTAACTACTGCTATTCGTGCTTTTTAGTAAACATTTTCAGATCACTTCACCTCCATCCAAAACGTTTTGTTGCTTCTTACATGGCTGAATCAATTGAAAATGTAATGTGGGTTGTGATTAAAATACATTTGCAGTATGATGATACAGACACAAGGTGGCGCTTAGCTTCCCAGCTAACAATTTTTGGTTCCCAGAACGTTCTCAAGAACGTTCCCTTTTGGTTAGCCAGGAAAGTTTTCTTGATGTAAATAGAAAATAGAAATAGATTTAGTTTATGGGAACTTTCCGGGAACCTTCTTGGAACGTTCTCGGCAGGTTCCCGGAAGGTCCCCCTAACCTAAAGGGAATGTTCTATTTACGTTCCTAGAAGGTTCCCGGAACGTTCTCCTAAGCTCTTTACTCCGATATACCGCTGCTGTACGTCAGTAATCATCCAGCACTCCCGCGTCCCGTAGAAGCAGTGGTTCTCAAACTGTGGGGTACCCGAACAAAATTCTGAGTTTTGGCATTCATTTAATTCTACCCCAACTTAAAGTAACATTAAAACCGGGCGTGTCTTTCTGACAAGCAAAATGCCGCTTCTAATGTAAAAACAGGAAAATGGGAGTGCCGTAAACGGTCAAATACATGATATCCAATCAGCTTACCTCATCTTTTGCGGTCAAAACTGACTGCATCCACACAATCTTTAAAG